AAGTAATATTTCTGGCCCTATCCGTCCCATTGGTCAACTATATACGTGTAGACATATTTATATCGACAACAATAGCCTTTCTCATAGTTGGCGACCTAATCGTATGGTTGGCCGCCAGTACTACCAGTCCAGGCTATCTATGGGCTTCAAGTATATTGTTTGGCTTAGGCATAGGACCCTGTACATCGCTAGTATTTCCATTGTGCCAAACTATAGCACCAACAACAACATCATCATCATCGACACCAGCACCAGCAGCACCTGTATCATCGACTATGGGTGCCCTAATTAATCTATCGATGAACCGATTTGTTAATTGGCAAATCTATAGAATCCAATCCCATTGTGTTTATCTATATAACACTGGGCATTACACTGGTCATAATTATATTAGTTGAACTAGTTACTTTATTGCAAAAAATATATATAAACATTTCTTAATAACTTAATTGTTATGTATCATATAGATTAATACATATATTGAAATATTTATTTGTTTGTTTATAGTTGTATGTAATTGTTAAAAATAATTATAATTATTAAAAATTATTTTTAAAAAAAAGTTTTATAAAAATTAAACATTATTTCATGGATTACTACATGTAATTATCGCACAATAAATATTTACAGTATAGTTACAATAGATATATTATTTAAAATAATTAAATTTAAAAAAAATATATTTTATACTATAATTATCGATAATTAATTTTATATTAATTTTTTTATTTGGAACTATTTAATTTATCGCACACAAAAAAAAATTAATAAAAAATTACTTAATAACTCAATGACTAATTAAATAATTATAATGCAATAAAATATATAAATAAAAATAAGAAAATACAGTATAAATCTAATAATGTCTGATAAAAAATTATCAATAGTTTATAAAGCAAATAATAATTTAATTTATTAATTATTTATATTATTTTTTTTAAAAAAATAACTAATTTATTTTTAATAAAAATTACTAATTAATTAATTAATATGCCCGAATCACCTAGCTACTCGTCAACAATAATATATAAATATATTTTGACAGCAATCATATGCATTGGTTTGTTTATAATTGTAAGTAATTGTTAAAAATAATTATTAAAAATATTATAATTTTTATTATAAAAAAATAAACATTATTTCATGGATTACTTATCGCACAGTATATGTTGCTATAGTATATCGATATATATAATATATACTGTATTATTAAAATATTTAAATTATAAATTTTATATACTAAATATTGATAATTAATTTATAATTAATTTATAATTAATTAAATTTAATTAATTAAAAAAAAAATACTAGTTTATAGCCGAAATGATGATCTCAACAATGCTCAGCGATTTGGCCCACATATACGGCACCGACATATCGGGTATTTCCGATAGTATGTCCATTACTAATGGTCTATGTTTTCTAAGTTGCATTTGTAAGTATAGTAAAAGCATCTGGTATAAAATAATTTTAATTAATTATAAATAAAATTAATTATTGTTTTTTATATATATATTTAAATAAACAAACAAATAATAATAATAATAATAAAATTTAGTAATACTAGCGACACAACAGTTAAGCCGACAGTTGACTTTCGGTCTACTATTGATAGTAAGGGGGGTTTTAATAGCACTGGTAGCCAGTTTACCATCACAGACGGCATTTACTATTGACTACATGGTCTATATGATAGCGGCTATGGGTCATATAACGTTGGCCTTTGTATGGCTGATGGACATCTGGGAGGCTAACAGTGCCCCATACGTACAGCTATTGAATCTATCGATGAGCGCGGCAGGCATATTTGCACCGTTAATTAGTCAACCATATCTGTCCAATATTGACTGGTCTAACCATTTAGACCATAGTCCAAAACTATATACCCATATACCATTTATAATATTAGGATCTACTAGTGCCGTGTTTGGCATATTTACACTTATCCTATTCATTGTTAAGCCATACGATTCCTATAATCCAAACACCCAGATAGTTGTGGTCACTGATAATGTTGTTACAGTAACTAATAATAATAATAATAATGATGATGATGCTCAGTTATCTAAATTGGACATGGTCAAACAGTATGTTAATAAATTTGTTGCCAATGTTAGCAATGAATTGGCACCCAACAAATTGACCATGGTCCTAAACATGCTATATGCCTGTATAGTTTGTCTAATTTTTTTTCTAAACAACAATTTCATTGCCTATTATCCAACGTTTCTCGATTTGTATGGTCCGGGAGGTGATGGTGGTGTTGACCAAAACACGGCTGCCTATATGTTTACGGTTTTGAATGTGGCCCAGGTTATATTTTTGGCCCTATCCGTACCAATGGTTAACTATATACGTGTAGACATATTTCTATCGACAACAATAGCCTTTCTCATAATTGGCGACCTAATCGTATGGTTGGCCGCCAGTACTACCAGTCCAGGCTATCTATGGGCTTCAAGTATATTGTTTGGCTTAGGCATAGGACCCTGTACATCGCTAGTATTTCCATTGTCTAAAACTATAGCACCAACATCAGCAGCACCTGTATCATCGACTATTGGTGCCCTAATTAATTTATCGATGAACCTGGGCAATTTTCTATCGCCATTAATAATTGGCAAATTTCTAGAATCCAATCCCATTTTGTTTATCTATATGACACTGGGCCTTACATTGCTAGTAATTATATTAGTTGAACTAGTTACTTTATTAAAAAAAATAATGATTACTTAACAACTATAATATACTGTATTATAGATATTTAGTCAACAAAAAAAATTAACTAATATATTAGGTATAGTAGTAATATGACCAAGTTGATTTTTTAAAACTACTACTATATTGTTATTATTTTGAAATAAACTAGATATAAAAAATTAAATATATACTATAATTTAACTAAAAAAATATTTAATAATTTTTTCACTATTTAAATTATTAATATTTATTTATTTATCTGTATATTAATATTTTTTTTACTTTACTTTACTTATTTATAATAGTTTATTGTAAAAAATTTATATCAAGGTGAAACTTCAATATGATATTATTTAATACAGTATATTATTATAATCATTTTTTAAATACATATTGTTTTAATTTTATTATAACTAATTTGTTATTATTTACTACTAATATATTATATAAAATAAAAATAATTGAAATTATTTTATTTGTTGTAAAAATAAGTTAAAACAAGTTTTGTTTTTTGTTTAAATTTAATAATAACTTTATTTATTTATTTTTATTAATTACTAATTTATAATATAAAAAACAGCATTTATTTAGTTTAGGCAATTTTTTTAGTTTTTCAAATTATTAATTAATATTATTATTATCAAATAGTTTTACATTAATAATTGTATTATTTTTCATATTTATATATATTACTAAAAACAACAATAGCATTATAACAACAATAACAACAATAAATAAAAAAAATAATAATATTAATAATTAATGTTTAATAACAATTGATTGAAAAATAATCTAGTAGCTTTATTATTATTATTATTATTATTCAATAATTAATTTATTATAACTAAATAAAAATTAAAGTTAGTTAAATATAATATTTGATTTTAAAGTATAATATATAATAATATATTATACTGTATATAAACAGCAAAAAAAACTAATAGTAATTATAATAATAATAATACTTTTAATTATATTTATAATATTAAATAATAATAATATTCAACAAATAATTGCAAATATATATATATAAATATATATAATTGCAAAATAATTTTATAATAATTTAATTCAATATTTAATTCAATATATATATATCACTCATTTCAATAACACCTTTACTATTGATATTTAAATTTTTTATTTTTAAAAATTTTTTTTATTATCAATCCAGAGGTACAGCCGATGACCCTATGATAAGTGTGGTGTCGGTTCCCATATATATCTATATCACTGTCCAAACACCCCCACCCTAGCCCACCCCCCACCCCCCGCTAGTATTTGAGACCGCATATACATATATATACATACGGGCGCGCGTGCGATAGCACATAGCTGTATGTATGTATATATATATATATATATATATATAACTAACTGCACGTGTTTTTTTTTTGGTGAGCACTTTCGTGTTTAAATCGCATTACTTATAAAATCACGCGCGGTTTCATTCAAAGGGGTCGGCCCACGAAACCGACACGAGTGCCCACTACTACTACTACTACACATACATACATACATACAAAAAATACTTTCAATTGTAATCAATCAATCAGAGTGTACGCGCGTGCTTTAGCCACACGTGCTAAAGCTACGTTGACTCTCAATTTATTTTATTTATTTATTTATTTTTTTTAATAATAATTATATTCATCTAATAAGGCATACAGTATATATATATAAATATAACCAAGGTAGAAAATACCGGGGGGGAGGGGGTAGCGCTTAAATAACTATTAATATATATATTAAAAAAAATTGTTGATAACTATTGTCTAATAATAATAATTAAAAAATAAAATTAAATTTTTTTGCTTAATATATAAACTTTGTATCAATAGAAACCAAAAAAAAAATAAAATATTTTTTTTGTAAATATTTATTTATTATTTTTTAGTTTTATTATTATATATTAATTTTTAGTTTTAATTATTATCATCCATCATATGATTAAATTAAATTAATTAATTTAATTAGTTTTTTTTAATTTCACTATTTTATTTAGTAGTTATTAACAACATTAAAAAAAAATTTTGTATTAATAACTTTGTATTATTATTTTGTTTTAATTATAATATTTATTTAGTTTTTTATTAGTTATTATTATATTTATTATTTATTTTGTATTAATAAATATATTAATTTTTTATATATATCTTCACAAATATATATATAAATTAATATATATTTAATCTCTAATATTATTTTATTTTAAATTAATAATTAATTTAATTTTTTTAAAACTAATTATTATTATTATTATTATTAATTAGATTTTTTTATTATCTCAAAAAATTAATTTATAATTTTGTAATATCTGATGATATCCTCACCAAAGTTGCCGTATCTTTAATCAATACATCGGGTATTATATTATTATTATTATTATTATTATTACTAGAAGTCTTGATGTCGGTCTTGTTGTTGTTGTCGACGTTGACAACAATATTGGACAATGATTTAGCCGATGCCGCTGCTGCTGATGCTGATGGTGATGATGATGACTGTGCCATAGATGATGATGGTGTTGTCATCATCAGATCATCTGAATATGTTGTTGTTGTAGTAGTAGTAAATGTAGACATCATTGGTGGTGGTAATGCTGATGACGATGACGACGACGGCCCAAATGGTGATACCATTTCATGTTGTTGTTGTTGGATCTCCTCATCGTAATAGATATCTTTGATCATTGGAAATATGTTATCAGATCTATGGCCGACAACAGCAACACTAGCAGTAGTAGTAGTAGTAGTGGCTGTCGATGTCGATGGTGTTGCTGTCGGAGCTGTAGTTTTACTTGGAATTGATATCAAGTTTTTTGAATCGCTTGTAGTTGTGGTGGTCATCATCATTGATATCAAATCTTTTGAATCGGATTTCTTGTTATCGTCAATCTTAGCCATCGATGGCATCATGTAATCATCATCTGCTGAAGATTCCTGTTGTTGTTGTTGTTGTGTTTTTTCTAAACCAATAATAGATGATGTCTTCACAGTGTTGTTGTTGTCGATGATGACAATATCAGATGATTGCTGATGACTACTGGCTATGGCCTGTGATTTACTATTATCGTCTTTAACGAGGACAACATCACCGCCGCCGCCGCCACTGCTGGTCTCAATGTCCGACATCAGACCCAACGATAGTGAAGACATATCCGATATGGTATCAGTGGTTGTTGTCGACAGTGTTGTCTTCAGGCTATCGCTGACCGACATATAATCGCTGGACACCGGCTGCTGTTGTTGTTGTTGTTGTTGGTCAGCGATTTGTGCCGTCATATCTTGTTGGACACCAATTATCAATTGATCCGATTGTTGTGTCAATCCAGTAGTAGTACTGTCTTTCCTACTATGGCTACCAAACATACGGACTTCTTCGGCAGCCATCAGTTCTTTATATAAACTATTATCTACTGATTCTCCTCTAGTTTTGTCCACTGTTTTTGCTGATGATGAAGAAGATTTTGTTGCTGAAGTATCAGTAATTTTTGTGTCCAACAATTGTAAGGAGGAATCCATGTCATCAATGCTACCACCAAACTGTTGCATATCTTCATCATCGATACCGATGGCAGCCATCTTCGAGACTAACTTATTGTCATCGGTTTTGTTGCCATCAATTGATTTCTTTTTCGATTCTTTCAGCGAATCTGTCAAAGATGTTGTTGTCGTTTGTGTTGTTGTTGTATCGGATTTTGTCGACAAACCGGTAGTTTTATTATCAGATTTGTCTTTAATATTATTATTATTATTACTAAACTTTAAGAAATCTTCAGCAGCAGCAGCAGTGGTTGTCGATGTTGTTGTAGTAGTCATTGATTCCTTCAAAATATTATTATTAGTTTCTTTAGTTTTATTGTTGATTTCGCCACCAATTGATTGCGATAATGACGACGACAACGACAGCAAGTCTTTTGTATCTGATTTTGTCGATACAGTCGATGTGTTTCTGGTGTCCAAAATATCGTCAAACATTAGGACATCATCTCCTACTTCATGTCCGATGACAGCAGCCATTGATGAGTAGTGGTCGTCGTCTTTAACTAATAATTCTGCTGAAGATTCTTTGTTGTCAGCCATCATCGACAAGTCTTTTACCACTGTTTTATCAACTGTTTGTTTGTGGTCGTCGTCATCGACAGCAACAGCAGCCGCAGTAATGATTGTGGTATGACTTTTGCTGTCAATCATTGGTTCCGATTCTTCAGGCAATGAATATTTGTTTGCCGAAGAAGACAAAGTAGAAGCAGAAGAAGATGTATCAGATTTTGTTGTCGTCGATAATGTATTAATGGTTTTATTATTATTATTATTATTATTACCGCTAATTGTTAGGACATCTTCAGTACCAATAGGTATGGATTTATTGTTATTGTCTTCAGTAGTCATAACATCTTTCTTTTTGTTGTTGTTGTCAATCACTGGTTGTTTGTCCGATAGTTTTGACGACAAGTTTTCAACAACAATAGTATCAATGGTTTTAATCGGTATATCACTAGTAGTAGTCGGCACTGAATAATCTGAAGTAATGTCCGACGGCTTTAAATCAATTGATTTTTCAACCATTTCTTTGTTGTCAATGGTTTTCTTCTCGTCCTTATTCTTATTGTCGTCTTTTACCACACTATCAGTGATCATACTATCAGTACTATCACTAATCGCTGATGACTTAGACATCAAATCTTTTGATACATCTTTAACTATTGGCTTATTATCTTCAGAAATATCACCAGATTTTACTACAACACCAACCGCTAGTTCTTTAGCAGCCATTTGTAAATCGTCTTTCGCTATATTACTACTGTCTGTCATATTTTTATCGACAATTGTATCCACAGTTTGTTTGTCCACTAAATCGTCTTCGTTTCTAATAATATCACTAGACTTTTGGTCGATGAAGACATCATTATCATCGGTTAATGAAATCTTGGATTTGTTGTCTGCTGTAAGCTTGTCATCAGTGGTAACAATTGCTTTCTGCTGTTGAATGATTGGTTGTTCCGATAGTTTTGACGACAAGCTATCAGTGCCAACAACAATGGTATCAGTCGTCTTAGTCGGCGTTATGTCTTCAATGACATCATCATCAGCAGTGGTGGTGAGAGTAGTAGTCGTGTCTAATGGCTTTAAATCCATTGATTTTACCACTTCTTTGTCAGTGATTTTCTTCTCCTCAACTTTATCTGTACTCTTGTTGTTGTTGTTGTCGTTGTCTTTTACAATCAGACTATCAGTAATCTTGTTGTCACTACTAATAGTCGTCGAAATTTTCTTGTCTTCAGTGGCGACAACAATCGGATCAATTGATGATTTGCCGACGACAACAATGTCTTTAGAAGCCATTGTTGTCGAGTCTTTAACTAAATTATTGTCATCAGACTTGTCGTCTGATTTTTGAACAATTGAATCGGTTTTTGTTGTTGTTTTGTTGTCCACAAAAACGTCTTCTTCTTTAGTATTATTATTATTAGTTTTGGTATCAGTTATGGTATCTTTGATTATATTCTTGTCATCAGTGGTTGTTGTTGTTGTAGTTGTGGTCTGACTTTTGTCAGTAATTGGTTCCGATTTTTCAGTCACTGATGAATACTTTTGTCCTAAAGATGTATCAGATTTTCCGATATCTTCCGAAAATGTTTGTAAAAAGTTTTTGTCGTCAATGTCTTTACTATCACTAGATCTTAGGATATCTTCCGAAGTAGTTATTAAGTCTTTAGCTGTTGTTGTTGTGGTTGTTGTCTGACTTTTGTCGCCAATTGGTTCCGATTTTTCAGTCACTGATGAATACTTCTGTCCTAAAGAAGATGTATCAGATTTTCCGATATCTTCGGAAAATGTTTTATTGTTTTTGTTGTCAAAATCAATGTCTTTACTATCACTAGATCTTAGGATATCTTCCGAAGTAGGTATCAAGTCTTTAGCTGCTGTTGTGGTTGTCTTATCTGTCTTATCGTCAGTTTTTGTCACAATTTTATCGGTTTTCATATCAAACGTATGGTTATTATTATCGCTAAATGTCTTCAGGACATCTTCAGCAGTGGTAATAGATTTATATATATCTTCTTCGGCTGTAAACCTATTGTCATCTGATTTGTCCACTGTTTTCGACACAACAACAACATCAACATCTTTCTGTTGTTGTTGTTGTTGAATCACTGGTGGATCCGATGATACTTTTGACGACTGGTTTTCAATGCCGCCAACAATGGTATCGGTTTTAGCTAATGGTATGTCTTTCACAACTTCTTCCTCTTCTTCTTCTTCATCTTCTTCAGCAATAAGACTCTTCTTCTTCTTCTTTGTCTTTTTCTCGTTTTTCTTGTCATTTCCTATATTATTATCACTAACTGGTATCGACTTTGACGACAAATCTTCTTCTTTGTTGTCCTCAATAACTATTGTATCGCCAATTGAAATGTCTTTACTATTATCGCTAACAACAGTTTCCAACAAAAATTTCTTTGCTATCAATACATTATCATCAGCAGTAGTGATGTCCAGTCCAGTGGCCATCAATGATTCATCGATGGTAGAGCTCATGACTATCGGTGTCTTTGACGACACATCCGATGATGACTTGTTTTCGTCAACCATTGTTGTTGTCAACTCTGTTTGAATTGTATTATCAGAAACATTGGTATCAGTTGTTGTTGTTGTGGTAGTAGTCGTGGACTTGACATCACCTGAATTAGTGTCAAAAGTATCTTTAGTTTTGGTCGTCACTTGTTTTTCTTCATTATTTGTCTTTTCCATGTTTTCTGACGATATCAACGACGACGACTTCTTTAGGTCGTCATCTTTAGCCGAAACCATGACTTCTTCAGACAATTCAATCGTTGATGACTTGTTCGCTAAATTCTTGTCTAATATAATGTCAGTATTTTTGCTGCTATTTAACAAAGAACTGGAAGAACTAGTGACCAATTCGTCAGTTTTTGTTGTCGACGACGACATTGTTTGCTCAACTGATGGCACATCCGTTGATAATAACTTGTTATTGTCATCAACTGTTGCCGCCGTCGACGCTATTGAAGACTTCTTTTCGTTAGTCATATCTTGTTTGACATTGTCATCGACTTTCATCTGCTTATCTGTTTTACTATCGCTGCTAATGTCTGGCAACAGATCTTCACCACCACTACCACCACTACTAGCTTTCAATGGACTGACCGATGATTGTGTGCTTTCAATGGTTGTTGTCTTCAATTGATCACCAGATTTAGCTGTGATATTGTCATCAATGACACCAACATTAACGTCAATATCTGTTGTTTTTGTCTTCTCTATGCTATCATCTGATGATTTAGCCATCAAATCGCTGGTCATCGTTGTCTTCAATTCATTTTTATTGTTGTCTTTATTATCTTCACTAATCAGTGTACTGCCCGAAGAAGAAGAAGATGAAGAACTATCGCTGCTTTTTGTCGATAATGTTGTCGACAAATCATCTGTTGATTTTTGTTTCGGCAAATAATCGGTAAATAATGTTTCACTAATTGGCTGTCGTTTGGCGTCAATTACATTGTCGTCATCATTGCTGACCACTTTGTATGTCAACGATCTATCGGCTGAATAGTCGTCATCAGCGGCAGCGGCGGCGACGTCGCCAACAATGGTATCTGATTTTTGTGGCGGCAGTACTGATATATCGCTAAACTTTAGGATCACTTCCTCTTCTTCTTCTTCTTCTTCTAGTTCTCTAACATCAGTAGCAGAAGTCTTCTTGTCTTTTGCTATACTGCTGTCATCAGCTTTAAAGTCATCAACAGTTGGTTTCGTGTTGTCTTTAGACGAAACTATTGGATCAGTTGTTGTTGTTGTTGTTGTCGTTGCGGATGTGTTTTTGTTGTCAATTGTTGGCAACTGTTGTGGCAACGAATCTGTTGTCAATTGTTTTGGATCTGTTTTAGTATTGTTATTATTATCGCTAAATTTCTGGACATCTTCTTCGACAACAACGGGTTTGTAGGCATCGACTGTAGTCTTAGTCTTATTTTTATTGTCTTCTGTGGTCTCGACAGCATCTTTCGGTTGTCGGACCATTGGTTCCTCCGATACTGGTTTTGACGACATGTTTTCAATGCCACCAACAATGGTATCAATAGTTTTTGTCGACGACGACGGTATGTCTTCTTTGACATCATCGTTGTCATCAGTGGTACTAATATCTACTGATTTGATAACTTCTTTTTCTTCAACATTAAGACTATTATTATTATCCTCTTTTATCTTCTTGTCGCTTACTATACTATTATTTTTATCATCAATTGTTGTCGACTTTGATACCAATTCAGCGACATCTTTGTCGACGTCTAGTTGTTGTTGTTGTCCGACAATTGTTTTATCAGAAACAGTGTCTTTACTATCACTTAAAGTCGTTTTCTTCTTCAAGACTTCTTCGTCGTCGTCATGAGTAGCCATTGATTCATCTTTTACTATAGTCTTAGACTTATCTTCTGTGGTAATCATCATAACATCTGTTGTCACCAATAGTTCCGATAGTAGTTGTTTTGACGACAAGACGTTTTCATCAACGATAATACTATCATCAGTTTTAGTCGGCGTCGGTATGTCTGCCGATACCACAMTAGAATSGCTGGTTGTTTTGATTTCTGATTTAGTTTTATTGTCCATCAAATCGTCTTTAACAGACTTTTTGACCAAAACATCTTCAGTGATAGGAGTTGTAATCGATTTGTCATTGTCTTTGACTTCTGATTGTTGAACCACTGGTTGTTCCCATGATTTTGATGAAACATTTTCCATACTATCAATAGTTTTATTAGACAACGACGACAACGTCGGTATGTCGTCTTTGACATTATCATCGGTGGTAGTAGTAGTAGTAGTAGTAGTAATGTCTGATGGTTTTAAATCATTGGATTTGACCACTTCTTCGGCACTTTTAACCACTTCTTTGTTGTCGTCTTTTACTACTATCACACTATCATCAGTAGCTGTCATACTATTACTACTATTATTATTATCACTTATAATCGCTGATGACTCTGATATCTCCGCGACATCTTTATCGGCGACCACTTTATCGACCATTGGATCCATCGATGATAATAATAATAAACTATTTTTATCACTTGTAATCTCACTATCACTTGGCTTTCGGTTAGCATTATCTTCAGCCTTCTTAGTGTCAAAAGTAATATGACTTTCATTAGTGTCTTCTTCCGTGACAATTGATTTCATCACCGATTCTTCTGTCGGTAATTTTTTGTTGTCGACAATTGTTGTAATATTTTTATTACTCTCTAAGACATCTTCATCTTCATCTACTTTACTACTACTAGCCATCGATGACAACTCTTTTGTATCTTTTGTCAGTTGATTTTTGTCGACAACATCTGAATTATCGGTTTCTATTGATGTCGTCTCTAATGTATTCATGTTTTTATTGTCTTTATTATTATTATTATTATTATTATTATTATCACTAATTGTTAGGACATCTTCAACAACAATGGCCATCGATTTGTTGTCTTTGACTTCAACTTCAACTGTAGTCTTCAACTTTTCGTCTTCTTCTGGTTTGTTGTCTGTTATCACAACTATCTCTTGAATCGCTGGCTCTTCCGATACTGGTTTCGACGAAACAATGGTATCATCGGTTTTAGTCGGTATATCTGCCACTACATCATCATCAGTGGTATTAGTCGTAGTGGTTGTAGTAGTAGTAGTAGTAATATCTGCTTTTAAATCATCACTGGTTTCAATCGGAACCACTTCTTTAGCTCTTAACAACTCTTCATCCATCTTATTGTCGTTGCTATCGCTAATCGTTGTTGACTTTGTCATCAAAAGATCTGTGTCTTTGTTGTCGGAAATATCTCCAGTTATATCACTAGTCTTTAAGACAATAGTAGTTTCCTCTTCACCAGTAGTAGTAGTAGTAGTTGTTGTTGTTGTAGGCATTGATTCTACTTTGAAGTCGTCGTCTTTATCTTCAGTAGTAGTAGTCTTCAGATCTATCTCTGAAATAATCACTGGTTTTGACGACTGGTTTTCAGTGCCATCAATAGTATCATCAGTTGGTTTGTCAACTGCTAATTGATTATCAGTAGTAGTAGTAGTGGTAATAATATCTGTATTTAAATCACCACTGATTTGTTTAAGCACTTCTTCTTCTACTTCTTCAACATTTTTCTTCAGCACCACATCCTTATCCACATCAGTATTCTTGTCTTTTAGACCATCATCGGCAACAACACCAACAACACCACTATTATTATCATCAGTAGTCATACTATTATCACTTAGTGTTGCTGTTGTTGTTGTTGTTGTCTCTGCTATCAGATCCTTGTCTACAACTTTGTCGATGATATCTGTTTTTATCAGTACGTTGTTGTCATCATTAGTATTAACTTCAGATCGGTTTTCACTATCACTTTCAGACATAGAGATCACATCATTTTTTTCCGTAGGCATCGATGTCTGTTCAATGTCTGACTTGTCTTTTGTCAACACATCTTCATCTACTAGTAGTTTATCCATTGATTCCATGGCTACCATCACATCTTTCATAGTGTCTTCAGTTGTTTGTTCAACAACAACAACATTGGTTTCATCTGCTGCTGCTGTTGTTGTTGTCATCAGTACATCATCATCGGTGGTAATATCCGATGATGGCTTTGAATCACTTGTTTCTATCACTACTTCTTTCTCTTCTTCATCGACAGTACTATTCTTTTCATTTTTCTCCTCCTTTTCTGTCTTTTCTGTCACTACTTGACTATCAATAATACTGTTATCATCATTATTATCACCAACTGATGACACATCCAAAGTGGCGGACATTTCAGTATCCAATTTGACCATTGATTTCAATAACTCTTCTACTTCTTCTACATCTACTTCTTGTTGTTGTTGTTTGTTGTTATCCATAACAACTGACTGTTCCGTGTTATTCATTGTCAAAATTATTTCTAATAATAAATATTTTTATTATATATGTATTTTTAAAAAAAACTTTAGATTTTTTTTGGTGATAATTACCATTTTGTCTATTGATATCGTTGTCATCATCAGCGGCAGCGGTGGCTGCGGCTTCTGCTGCCAATTGATCTGCAGCTTTAGCCGCCATCGCCGCCGCAGCCGTCGCCGCCGCCAACTCTTTTGCTTTAATACTACTACTACTACTTCTTCTGCTACTTCTTCTACTATCACCAGAAGGAGTTCCTCCTCCTCCACCTCCTCCTCCTTCTTTCGGCACTTTTCTTACGACCGCTTTATTCGTAGTCTCAACTTTTGGCAAACTTTTTGTTAAACTATCACTTGATTTAGTCCTCGACGACGACGACGCCGACTCTTTACCACTACTTTTCTGCTGTTGCTGATGATGGCTATCCTTAGATGGCTTTGTCGTAGTGGCCGCCGCTGATGACGACGCCGACGACGACAATAACTGTGTGACCACTGGTTTTCTAGTCTGACTTCTATCTCTTGTTGATGACCTTTTCGGTGACATTGGAGACGACGGTTGTTGTTGTTGTTGTTTTGGCACCGATTTCTTTACTTCTTTGTTAACATAGTTTCCATTGGTATCCGACGGCACCGCCGAAGTCGGCTTTGGCGGCTCCTGTTGTGACTTATGTTTTGTCGGTTTGATCCACACTTTGCCGCCTTCTGGCTGCTGTTGTTGTTGTCTCGATGGTGGTATCGGTGCTGAACTAACCGCTGCTGATTTATGCTGTTTTGTCAGCTTTTCCTGTTGTTGTTGTTGCGGACCATCAGTTGTTGAAGACCTGACGTCTGTGTAAAACAAAACGAAAACAGATTTTGTTAAACAAATTTATATTATATTCAAATTATCTTTAAATTCACGGATCAACTAACGTGAAGAAGAAGTACTAAACGGAGATTTCGTGCGAACAGTCGGTGCGGTTGTTGTTGTTGTTGTCGTAGCTGTGGTTGTGTGTGAAGAAGCACTTGTAGTACTACTACTACTGGGTATATGACGTTCCGATCGTAGTGTTGGCGGCGCTGAGCTCAGACACCTTTTACGGCCTATTAATTAATTAATCGGTAATTTAATTATTAATTTGATTTATTTTATGGATCAATTGGTCTCAACCTCTTTTGGGTGCCGCCGACATGGATCGGGCGCTACTTCTTTCAAGTTTTTTCTCCTCAATAATACGTTTGGTTGTCTCCAAGTCCAGGGCCTGTAGGTTACGATCCCTGTGATAGGCCTGAACTTGCGAGCCCTGGGAGTAGATCAATGACAGACCTTCACTGGCCAGTGGATGACCTAATAATTTTTGGTGTTTTAATTGTTTTTATGGGGGGGGGGAGAGAGGGAGGGGTTAATAAAATCAATTACTAATAATAATAATAATTTGTTATGTGATTTGCTTTTAGAAATTTATTTACAGTATTATTATTTTATTTATAATATTAATAATTATTTATTAATAATTATTTATTAATAACTAATAAGTATTTAAGTATTACTAATACATTTATAATAAGGATTATTAAAACTATTATATATAAGTATAGGTCTATTAATAAATTATGGGTAACTTTAAGGAGATTAATAATATTATATTTATACTAAAATATTGTTATATTAAAATTAAATAATTTATTTTTAACTATTATTATTATTATTACTACTAATATATAAACTATTAATAAAATTATTATATATTTTTCATTATTTTTTGTGATTCTTTAAGTAAATAAATTAATTAATAATAATTTTAAAAAAAATTATTAGTTATATACAAATTTTTTTTAAAAATATTTAGAAATAAAAAATTGTAGACAAATGTAATTAAAAAAAATTAAAATTAAATATAGATATAAATAATAAATTAATTTAATGTTGAGTTAATGTTGAAACACAAACAACTAACAACAGCAACAACAAAAAATTAGCAAAAAAAAATAATAATTTATATCAAAATATATATATATATACTTATATATTATATAATATACAGTAAAATATCAAAAGCTAATGTGGTTTATGATGAAATTTATGACATGAAATAAACTATTTAATAAAATAATAATAAAATAATAATAAATTGAAGAAAAATTGATAACTTCATTGATTTTATTATTTTATTTTTTTTACATTTATATACCAGATATATACAGTATATAAATAGAAATAATTAATCAATAAATCAATAGACTGTTTAAAAATAAATAGTGATCTCTAATGTTATTATTATATCAGTATATTATTATATTATAATAAATTTATATTAAATATATTAAATACTTTAATCTATGGTGACATTTAATGGTATTAAATATTATATATTTTATTATTTATTTTTTTAATAAATTTAATTATATATATATATATATAACTTATTGTGCAAAATAATAATAATAATAACAAGAATATTCTATATATAGAAATAATATAATAATAAAAAATGATAATTAATGACAAAAAAAACTCACTCTTATTATAAAAACAATGTTTTAGTTTTTTCTCTCTCTCTTTCTTTTCAAACAAAAAATCTATGACTTATTTTTGTTGTAATGAAAAAATAAATTTATGTCTTAATTATTATTAATTGTTTTCTTTTTGTTTTTTTGTTTGTAAATTAAGTTTTGTTTTTCACTTTGTTTTATATGAGAAAATCCAATTTATTATTATTATTATTATTATTATTTTGTCGCTTATTATTAGACATTGTATGATATGATTGAGATATGAATTTGATATGAGATATGAAAATGCATTTTAAGTTTATTTTTTAAATGTTTTTTGTTTGCTATCCTTCAGGAAAGCCTTTGTTAAGGAAAATGTGAAATAAAAAAAATATATGAAAAAAATTAAATAAATTATTTGCACACAAAAAAATTAAACATTTGTATTAATAATATCAATTTAAAAACTAACAATTTGTTTATATTATATATCATATATATATATATATAACTTATTAAATATTATTATTAATTATAATAATAATTAATTATATTTTGTTTTCACAAATATTTTGTTACACTATTGAAATATTTTGTTAGCAATAAATTATTATTTAAATTAATTTAAAAAAAAAATAATTAATTTAAATATCAAATGTATTGCTAACAAATTTTGTTTTCAATAAAATAAAAACAAAATAAATATAAAAAATATTTATTTAGTATAAATTATAACAACAAAAATTAATTAATAATTTTTTCTATCTCTAAAATTTAATAAATCAATAAATTTTTATATAAAGAGAGCAAAACAAATAGTTTTCAATAAAACAAAACAAACAAAACATAAAAAACAATTACTAGTAATAAGTAATCAATCAAATAATAAATTATATATTAATAAAAAAAAATATTTATTTAAAACTATTTAGCAAAACAAAAAAAAATTTTGTTTATTTTATTTAGTTTGTCATAATTAACGGGTAATTAACTACTAAACGGGTAATTAATTTTTTATTTATTTATTTATTTAGTAAATTTAAAAATTAATTAATTATAAAATACGAAAAATAAATTTAAAAAAAAAAATAATTAAAAAGTTTTTCAATTCATACCTAACGTCGATCTGGTCTTATATTCGTTGGCCTGACGTGACCTCTCCTGAACCTCCGAATACCATTGTTTGACCTCTTGGTCGCCGACCGACCGTCTGTCCAAGTCTTTCGGTTTTTTGAAACCATTGCCCGCAATGTAGACATAGTCGCTGAACGGTTCAAATTTGGTATTATATTCGCTTTTCTTGGCCGGTGTCGACTGATTGGACACCGATTGTTGTTGGCCACCACCGGGTGTCTCCCGACCACTACCACCACCGCCACCGCAGCCGGCGGCGACATCACTCAGACTGGATATGGTAACCGATTTTTTCATACCGCCGCCGCCGTAGCTGCCGCTGGTCTCCAACGGTACGGCAACTCCCGGAGCCGGAATCGGCGATTCTGTACCCCGTCGTTGAATCGACGGTTTTTTTGGCCAACCAAACGACCGCTTGTACTCCGATTGGCTCGACTGTCCGTATGTCGGGTCGGCGATCATAATATCGGGGAATATTTATTTTTTTTTTTCAATAAAAAAATTATTTAAAATAATTATTTTTATATAAAAAAATAAAACTAAAAATATTAATTTAAATATATATTTGCAAATAAACGGCTGATCTCTATTAATGTATTAATTAATAATATCCCTACAAATATAACGTTATTATAAGTGTTTATTAGGAATAATAAAATTTATAAATATTATAAATAAATAATATATAAAATAAACTAGCTATTTTCTAGTTAGTTAATTATAAATAATTAATTAGTTAACTATAATTAATTAATTAATTAAAAAAACTAAACTAAAAAAATGACTAACAAATTAAAGGTTATAATAAATTAATGTTATTATTATAAATAACTTTTAACTTTATATTTGTATGGACTATATCTTAACCTTTTTATAATATAATATATAAAATCCATTTAAATTAATACAGAATTTTTTTTTGTCGCAAACATATGTTTAAAATACATTTAATATATATATATATATTAAATATATATTAAACATATGTTTGCGACCAAAAAAAATCTGTATATATATATATTGTCACAAAAAAAACTTATATATATATTGCTTACATATTTATCATTAGTATTATTAGTATTATTGTTAATACTATCACTACTTGAGGCTATCCGTGACCATTGATAATTTTGCCGATACTCGGTATCGGGTGCTCCTCCCTGACCACCACCGCCGCCACCGCCACCCGAGTCGGCTGCAGCCCAACAATCACTAGACATATGGATGGGCTGATTGTCGACAACACCGGTAGCCGTATTGGGCCGAGTGTTGGCCGCCGATGCCGATGACGGCACAAAACCATTGTTGTCGACACTTTTGAGCGATTCATAGTCACCACCGCCGCCACTGCCGCCGGTGGCGGCTATCTGTCGGCGACCGACCATCGAGTCGGCAGTGTTTAAGACACGCGAGACAACTGCAGACCACAAATTAATTAATTAATTAATAAAAATAATTGTTGTTTTAATCACACAATATGTTTGGCTTTTAGTATTAATTTAATTTAATTAATTATTAAATTTTTTTATCACAAAAAACATTTCAATTTTAATTTTTAACAATAATTCAATCACATATGTCATCAATAGATATAATAATAATAATAAAATATTTATTAAAAAAACAGTATTTCATAACAATGCTATATAAAAAAAATTTAATAATATATAATATGTTTTGTAATATATTTAAAAAAATATTTACTAAATGTTTAACACTAAAAAAAATTATTTATTTTTTTTATATTTTATTGTTTTTTTGTTGTGTTTGTATTTTATTTAGTTGTATATCATTTCTGTCACAATATTCATGTAATATATAAGTGAAAGTGCTTTTCACTCATAGACTGAGAGAGAGAGAGAGAGAGAGAGAGAGAGAGAGAGAGAGAGAGAAAGAGAGAGAGAGAGACGTTTGGTTGGTTAGGCCATCATTACAGTGGCCTAAACAGTATGTATAGTATATCTATGGGTGCTCTGCGAAGCCATTGCAGTGATATTGATTGCAATTGGTATATACAGTATATATATAGTCTATGTGTGTTGATAATGGGATAGACACTGACATACACACACACACACACCACTGTACATATGGTGTGTATAGATAGCAATACCCGGCTAAAGACCCAGACATCACGCACCACACACACACACACACACACATACATACATACATACATACACATCACACGCGCACTGATAGCTCGCACATACATACAGACAACAGCTCCGCGAGCGCCGACACCACGACATTGGATGTGTGTCTGTGTGTGTGTGTATGTATGTGTGTATGTATGTGTATGTATGTGTATGTATGTGTATGTGTATGTGTGTGTATGTGTGTGTATGTGTGTGTATGTGTGTGTGTATGTGTGTGTATGTATGTGTATGTATGTGTGTATGTGTGTGTATGTGTGTGTATGTGTGTGTATGTGTGTGTATGTGTGTGTATGTGTGTGTATGTGTGTGTATGTGTGTGTATGTGTGTGTGTATGTGTGTGTGTATGTGTGTGTATATGTGTATGTGTGTGTATGTATGTGTGTGTGTGTGTGTGTGTGTGTGTGTGTGTGTGTGTGTGTGTGTGTGTGTGTGTGTGTGTGTGTGTGTGTGTGTGTAATGTAGAGATAATAATAATACTAAAAAAACTTTTTTTTCTCTCTAATAATATTAATATTTATATTACTAATATGCTGTATATACTGTATATACCGGTACAGTATCGGTAATAAAAAGTTTATTTTAGGAAATAAAACTAAATAAAAAACCCATTAAATAATATTTATATTTTATATATTAAATAATTAGGGCTGAGCTAAACACATACATACATACCAAACCACCCTGTGCTATTAGACTTTATAATTTTTTATTTTTTTTAAGTATAGGCCATTAATTTTAACCATGGTTTAAAAGTTAAAGAGTTGTGTTTTTGTTAATGTTATTATCTAACACAGTATATACTGTCTATAATTTATTTTATATTATGTAAACCGGAAAATATACTGTACTTTATATATATATATATATACAAAAAAAACTAGTGATGAAAACTAGCCTTTTATTTAATAATATATATATATATTGTTATCGTAGTTTTGAGACGAGACTCACTTTAAATGCGATATTAAGTTAAACCAAAAAAAAAAATATTAAAAAAATAAAAGTTTTAAATATAATTAAATCGATAGACATATAGAGTAGACTGAATACTGTAGTAGTAATACATTATATAAAGTAATCGGTTATATAATATATATATATTATATATGGTTTAAGTGACAAAAAAAAACAAAAGTTTTTTGTGTGTCATATAATGTATTTTATATATATAAAGCATTTGATAGTAACTTAAAAATGTTATATACTTTTAGTATGTATTTTTATATCGTATTATTATTATTATATCATATATCGATATCTCTATAAAAAAAACTAAATAGTTATGATATTATCTAATTTTGTCATTTTTCTTAAGTTAGATATATATATATATATATATACAGTATATTGTTTTTTTTTTCACTGAAAATTTCAACAACAAAAAAAAAATAGTTAACTTATAGCTTCTGGATATTGACTTATATATAAATATATTTTTTTTAAAATAAAATTAAAGATAATTTACTTTTGTTTGTATTTTTTATTAAACAAAATAATAAGACAATATTATACTAATATTATTTGTTGTTTATATATATATATAGTTTATATATAATTTTTAATGACTAATAATGCTAAATATTATTATTAATATTAATAATAATAATAGGAATTGAAAAAATATAAATTTCAAATACATATTATTATTATTATTAATAATACAAAAAAATTAATAATCTTATGTATAAAAAGGCATTTACTGTATATAACAAAAAAATATAACTAAAATAAATGTTTTATATTTATTATTTTATTATTGTTTTCATAGCAACCATTGGGTTCAATCACTAAATAAATTTTTTTTAATGTACTTTATATATAAATACTGTATATATATATATATATATATATATATAATTGTATTATTTTTATTACCATTTATACCAATTGATTACTAAAATATCAAAAATAACTATATTTTTAATGACTATTATTTTGTTAATATACAGTATATTTTCTTTTTTTTAATTTAAATGTCATGTTTTAATACTATAATATTAATATATATATATATGTGTGTGTAGTAAATACACCTAACAAAAAATAAATATCTAATTATTAATATAATTTATTAGTATTTTTTTGATGTCAGAAAAAAAATAGTTGAATATATCCAACAAATTATTATTAAAATTAATTATTAATACTTTATTAACTCATTTAATACACACACTATATAATATAATATATTAGATAATAACAACAAATTGTATTAAAAATATTTTATCATTTTATTTTTCCTAATTATTTATCTGTTATTTATGACACCAATGAATTTAGATTTATTTATTTATATTAATATCATATATATATATATATATAAAGTTAATATTATATTTATTATCAATTTATATATTATTTTTCTACTATAATATATCGATGATTAAGCAAACTTTAATTATATGTTTGCTTAGTAAACAACTTTTAAAGTATTACTTTAAGTATTATATTATTATTATTATTATTATTATTTATTTTTCTATTTAAATAATATATATATATATATAATTATTTTTCATCATTAATACTGTTTTTCTTAATTTTTGTTGTTTTGTTTTGTTTATTAGTAATACTTTTGATACTTATCTTTGATAAGTAAACTAAACAAATAAATTACAAACAGACAAATTAAATGTCTTTTTTAAAACTAATTTATTTATAAATTAAATAATTAAAAAAAATGAAAATCTTTTTTGAACGTCAAATATATGTGTGTTTTTATTGTATGTTTTTTTATTTAGTTATTATTATTATTATCATTAAAAACCGGATTACAAATTTTTTTTTGTTTTTTTTATATATATATATTATAATTATTTTCTATAGAAAACAACATGAATTGCTTGTATTATTATTATTATTATAGACAACAAATAGCAATATTATAAATAATAAAACTACAAAAATATTTATTTAAATACTAAATAATAATATTATTAATAATAATACCTAATAATAACATAACAATTTCTAAATGATTTCGGATATGAATGAAATTAATAATAATATTTATATTCATAATAATAATATCAACAACAAAAAAATATAACTATATTTTCATCAACAACAATGTTATCTAACATTTTTATCATTAATAATAATAATAATAATAAAATATTTTATATATAACTGTAGCTTAAAAAACAATTGCAACCAAAAAAAACTAAATAAATTTCTTATTTCGACGAAATATACTATTTTATTGCATTTTATTTCTGCAAAAAAATAATGACTAAAATAATAGAAATAATTATATTTTAGAGAGAGAGAGAGAGAGAGAGAGAGAGAGAGAGAGAAAGAATGTAAAAAATATTTTAGAAAAATTAAGAAACTAATGCACAGAATATTCTTTTATATAAATAAATAGAAAACTATTCAAACAATTTTGTATATATATCTATAAAAAATAATAATAATAATAATATTTATGACTTTTATATATATATATGACAGAAATAAGAAAAAAATTGTTAAAATAATAGAAAGAAATAAATATTATTTAAAAGGAAATATTTTTTTCATATGAAATGCTTAATTGAAAAGTCCATTAAATATATTTTTTTATATATATACGCTATATATGATATATATATATATATATATTTATTTATGATGTATATATATACTGTATAATACAATATTATTATTATTAATAATAATACAAAAATATTATTATTGAATTCAATTATCATATTATACTGTTTGTGTATAAATGTGTATATATAAGTGAAAAAAAACCATTAAATATATTGAATAAATAGATATATAAATTATATTAAAAATATACTATCAATAAATATATTTATATATATATATATTAGAAATAACATACCGGGGCTGTTATAGGGCTGACTGTCCACAACCATTGCCTTTTTGCTATTATTGTCATCAAATTGTTTAATAATTTTCTTATCAATCAATGACTATGTTTTTTGATTGAATGAGATTTTTGTCAGTTTATAATTAAAGAGAGAGAGAGAGAGAAAAAAAAATTAGCAAAAAATTAAATTCAATGAACAATTAATATCATTAATTATTTTTGTTTGTTTTTTTTTAATTATTAAGTTTTATTTTTTTTTAAAACATCAATTAGCAATAATTTATTGATTAATACACTAAATAAAAAACAATAAACAATAAACAAACAGCAGTTTTATGTGAAATATTTTTTTGTATGTTTTTGTTGATTAATAATCAGTGAAAAAAAATATAACAAAAATAATAATAATATAAAATATTTGTATTATACTAAACTAAAAAACAACAACAAATATTTTAGCGAAAAAATTTATTTATTTATATATTAATAACAATTGAATCGATAATATGCTACTCAACTAACCTAGATTTTATCATATATATACAGTTAATAAATATATATATATATATGAATAATACATAAAAATTTAATAAAATTTAATAGTAAAACAAAAATTTATTTAAACATATATTTTATTTATATATTTATTTATTATTTTTATTTTTTCATTCAATAATTATATAGTAGAGTATTATTTACTTAAAGAGAGAGAGAGAGAAAAAAAAATTGAGATTTTTTTGTTGTTTTTTTGTACACTTAATCAAACAAATTGTAATTCAATAATAAAAATGAAATACTTTTATGTTTCATGAATTTTATTTTTTTGTTGTTGTTGTATATATTTGTATATAAATTTATTGGATATACTGTAATAAATGGCAATAATATTATACATATATTTATTATTTATAAGTTGTTATAACAAATTAAATGTATTGCCAATCAATTGATGTTTTAAGTGTGTGTGTGTGTATGTGTAAATTTATGTATGTATGTGTGTATATATATGTATGTATGTATGTATGTATGTATGTATGTATGTATGTATGTATGTATGTATGTATGTATGTATGTATGTATGTATGTATGTATGTATGTATGTATGTATGTATGTATGTATGTATGTATGTATGTATGTATGTATGTATGTATGTATGTATGTATGTATGTATGTATGTATGTATGTATGTATATGCTTGTATGTATGTGTGTGTGTATTTGTGTGTATGTGTGTGTATGTGTGTGTATGTGTGTGTATGTGTGTGTATGTGTGTGTRTGTGTGTGTGTGTGTGTATGTGTGTGTATGTGTGTGTATGTGTGTGTATGTGTGTGTATGTGTGTGTATATATGTATGTATGTGTGTGTATATATGTATGTATGTGTGTGTATATATGTATGTATGTGTGTGTATATATGTATGTATGTATGTATGTATATGTATGTGTATGTGTGTGTATGTGTGTGTATGTATGTGTGTGTATGTATGTGTGTGTATGTATGTGTGTGTATGTATGTGTGTGTATGTACTGTATAGTAGTATAAGTAATATTGATAATTGTCGGCTAATATTTATACAGTTGTCTATTACTCGTCAGTATATTATTCAATATTATTATTATTATTGAATTATTTTGTATTTATATTAGTAGTAATATTGTCATTGAATGTTATGTTATGTGTGTGTGTGTGTGTGTGTGTGTGTGTGTGTGTGTGTGTATGTGTGTGTATGTGTGTGTATGTGTGTGTATGTGTGTGTATATATGTATGTATGTGTGTGTATATATGTATGTATGTGTGTGTATATATGTATGTATGTGTGTGTATATATGTATGTATGTATGTATGTATATGTATGTGTATGTGTGTGTATGTGTGTGTATGTATGTGTGTGTATGTATGTGTGTGTATGTATGTGTGTGTATGTATGTGTGTGTATGTACTGTATAGTAGTATAAGTAATATTGATAATTGTCGGCTAATATTTATACAGTTGTCTATTACTCGTCAGTATATTATTCAATATTATTATTATTATTGAATTATTTTGTATTTATATTAGTAGTAATATTGTCATTGAATGTTATGTTATGTGTGTGTGTGTGTGTGTGTGTGTGTGTACTGTAGTATAAAAAATATATCAATATATATATATATATAAGACATGACATTATATGATATACATTATGTGTTATGCTATGTGAATATCATTTTATTTTTATTATTATTTTTATTTTTTTTCTGAAAAGTCATTTTTACCGTAAAAATTACAAATCATTTTTTATATAATATACTATATATACAGTACATATAATACATACAAAATCAAGTTTATGTATAAAATAGTTATATATTTCAAATATATTAATATATCATTATATACAGTATATGATCTATCATATCAAATATCGTATGCAATTTTCAATCAGTTATATAAGAAAATTTTATTTTATTATTATTATTATGTATTTATTATTGCAGTTATTTTTCAAGAATATGTAATACAAATTGTATACATTGTTAGACAGTTTTTTTGTGCATTTTATTATTTTTTATGGATATATATTTGTATATTCATGAAATATACTATATATGTATATATATATATATATATATATATATAAAGTTACATTTTTTTGTTTTGTTTTATTAGACTAATATTAAATGCAATGTAATAACTAATCGTTAATTTTTATACATATATTTGCAATATTTTATTGTCTATTTGTAAGCCATTGACATTATTAAAAATATATTTAATATATATATACTGTATATTATTTAATATTTATAATATTCATATACTATATGTATGTCTATCAGTTATTTTACAAATAAAAATAAATAATAAAACAAATTTAATTGCATAAAAAATTTTTAAAAATCATTTTTTTGCCCATAATATATATATATAACTATTGTTTTATATTTATTTAATTTATTATTATTATTATTAAATAATATACAATACAGGTATATTGGATGAACTTGTGAACGTATTTGATGTAAGATTTGACTGTCTAAACATGTGTTTAAAATATTTATTTTCATACCAAAACAAACTATAGTGTTATATGATTATTGTGATATTTTTTAATTAAAAGTGCAATTGAAAATGTGGCCAAAGGTCACGCCCGAAGTTCGGGCACAAGTAAAGGCGTTTTTAGACATAAACTGGTCATTTTCGGTGATAATTAAATATTTTGAGTCAAAGGGCATCCCGTTATCTAAGAGTATGATATCTAAGATAAAAAATGCGCCAAAAATAGCGGACAATATCCCAAAGAAACCCGACTTGAGAGGCAAAAAGAGTGTCCTCTCAGCTAACCAATTAAGTCGATTGAAGAAAATGGTGGAAAATCCCAATCCAATCACACAGAAAGCGATGGCACAACAACTGAAAACTAATGAATGGGTTGTCAACTACCAGATCCGCAATGTTTTATGGCCAAAAAATATATATAGCGCCGCAACCATTGAAAAGCGGGTAAAGAGATCGTGGCCATTTTATCGCCGTCTGAGGCCAGAGATGGACAAAACATATTACATCAGATGAGGCACTGTTCCATTTATCGGAAACACAGTATATCTCCTTTCAACAAACCCGTAAAGACATGGAGGTATACTCGCGAGCAAGTTTCCCGAAAGGTGTTATGGTTTGGCTCGGAATCTCGGCAAATGGCAAAACCGAAGTCCGATTTGTCAAACCTGGAGTCAAAATAAACTCCGATTATTATATAAATAAGATATTAAAGCCATTTCTCCGCCGAGATGTCCCGAAATTATACCCGAATGATGACTATTGCTTCCATCAAGACTCGGCTCCCAGTCATGTGTCTAAAAAAGACATTAAACTTTCTTCGGGAACAAAATGTACCGTTCATAACACCTGAACAATGGATGCCCTCTAGTCCTGATGCGGCACCAATGGACTATTTCTTCTGGGGTTATCTCAAGAAACGATTGAATAGAAGAAAAATAACCAAAATATCTTCCCTTAAAAAAGCTATTAGAGAAGAGGTCAAGAAAGTGCCGCAAAATATGATCAACAATGCACTGAAGAGTTGGAGCCGCAGATGTCGTCAAATCTACTATAATAAGGGTCTTCATATCGAAAAATATCGTTAATTTTAATTAATAAATTTAATTGTTATTTAACTTTGAATTTGTTCACAAGTTCATCCAATGTCCCTGTATATGCTGACATAATGTTTATGTATTTTCACTCAAAAAATTTTTTTTTATTAAGTTATTTTTTATTATGAAATATATTATTATTATTACTATTAGTATTATTAGTATTATTTCGTAAAATTTAATCAAAAGTAAATTTACATTACAGTATAAATTATATATATATATATATATATATATATATATATTATTTAAATAACTAATTTAATTTACAATTAGATTTTATATTATTGGACAAAAATAAGTAATATTTTTTAGAAATAATTTCAAAAAACAATATATATATATATATATGATGTGCAATTTAAAACTTAAAATAATATAAAATATAATATTATTATTACTTAGAAAACTATAATGTCATTTATCAAAACTAAATTTAATTATATATATATATATGATATAAAAAAATCAAATTAAATCAGATTATTTTACTATTATTTATATAAATTTTTTATATTATATATATTTGATTTGATGTACTTTTTCTATATATATATACATCTATATGTATATATATAACGTTTTGTGTAAATTAGTTTTGTCGGCAGCTATAAAGCCATAGAAAATTTTTATTTTATTTTTTTTTGTTATTTTGTATTTAAATTACATGTTATACATGCTATACTACTACTGTATATATATATATATATAAAGTTACATTTATTTCAAAATAAAGTCTAATTTTTTGAACATTTTTTTGTGTTATTTTTGTATTTTTACTTTAAATGAGATTTTAGTTTAAGTAAATTAAATTTTTTGTGTATTTTTTTACTTTATTTTTACTCTCTATTATATTAATAAATTTCAATAGTATTTACTTGTATTACAGTTATAAGCTATAATGTAAATTGTGTAATATTATATATATGTGTGTTAAATATATATATATATATATATATACAGTATAT